TTATATTTCGTCTTTTCTTTTTTCTTCTTTTTTTTTTTGATGAATCTAAAAAAATGTAATGTATTAAATTATGCAAGCTCCAATTTTCAAACAAATATTTTTAGTTTTATTGAATTGTTTTTGATAAAATTCGGGCTGAATTTTTCGTTTCTTCCCCCTCAATATTGCATAATTCCTTTATTAAAATAATGACTTCAGGGATTTCTTTTTATATAACTGTAAAAAGAAAAAAAAATGGCGAACTCACTCCAAATTAAAAATATACACACGATATCGAATAGTTTGGGGCGTGAAACATACATCAAAAGAAATTTCACGAAAGGGTTTTTAATAAAATAAGATATTCAGAAAAATATTAATTCATGAATGAATAAATCCTGAAGATTTACTTTGAATGAAATAATTCCCTCATTTGGCCAAATATTTTAAAACAGAGTACTGAAAAATTACAAGGAATTTTTTAAATATTTTTTTCTCTCGAATCTGAAAGAATTTAACTTGTTAAATTAAACAAGCACTAATTCTCAAAAAATATTTTGAGTTTTACTGAATTGTTTTTTTAAAAAATAAGGGCCGAATTTACCATTTTTTATCAGACGATATTACATAATTTCTATATTAAAATCATATCATCACGGATTTCTTTTTATATAACTGTAAAAAAAAGATGTAACAAAATAAGCTATTCAGGAAAATATTAATTCATAAATGAATAAGACCAGAAGATTTCGTTTGAATGAAATAATTCCCTCATTTTGCCAAATATTTTAAATCAGAGTACTGATAAATTTCAAGGAATTTCTTTGAAATAAATATTGTATTTTTCTGTCGAATCTGAAAGAAGGTAACATGTTAAATTTTCCATTTTTTATCAGCTGATATTATATAATTTCTTTATTAAAATCATAACTTCAGGGATTTCTTTTTATATAACAGTAATTTGGATGAACTCTCCCCAAATTAAAAAATATACAAACGATTTCAAATAGTGTAGGAAGTATATCATCCTGCAAAAAATATTTCACCAAGGATTTTTAATAAAAGAATCTATTCAGAAAAATATTAATTCATGAATGAATAAGTCTTGAAGATTTCGTTTGAATGAAATAATTCTCTCATTTTGCTAAATATTTTAAAACAGAGTACTGATAAATTTCAAGGAATTTCTTTTAAATAAATATTGTATTTTATCTGTTGAATCTGAAAAAAAGTAACATGTTAAATTATACAAGCACTAATTTTCAAAAAATATTTTGAGTTTTATTGAATTGCTTTTGACAAAATTCGGACCGAATTTTTCATTTTTATTAGCCTATATTAAATACTGCGCCTCAGGAGTAGGCAAGGAGTCAGTAGTTCAAGTCTAGTCAAGAGGCAGTCGAGTCAGAGGCAGTCCGAAACAGAGTCGCGTTTAGACAATTACTGCAAGACATTTGAATAGTGATACTGGTCGAGACTACACTGTTCTCTCTACTAAACCTGATTGTTCATACTAACACTTTCTACTTCTCTGTATATATTCCTGTTTGTAATATATCTGTGTTATTCCATACCTGTGTTCGCGTTCTTCTTTATTGGTTCTACCTTGGACTATCACCGTGGTACAAGGAACCGGACCATAACATCTATATATATAAAGACGTGGCTTTTGGGGAACAAGACGTGGGTTTTCGAATACGTGTAGGAGTATCCCGACAGAACTTAGTGAGTAGTGACGCTGCATCGAGTTTTGTCTGTTTCTTCTTCGTCACAGAGACCCGTTGGTACGACGCTTGGATTGTATCGAAACGGTCGGTCATTTTCTTTTTCCTTTCTTTCACCATACAGTCAGTTTTAGACCCACTGGATTGACAGGGTGCAATCGATTTCTATTTTATCCTTTGATTAGGCCATTTGGAGTGTGTGCAGTAATATGAATCTTTTTTGATAGATAGATAGATAGATAGATAGATAGATAGATAGATAGATAGATAGTGTTATGGGACCTTACCCATAATAACATAATAGACTATTCCATACGTAATAAATACTGCGCCTCAAGAGGAAGCAGAGAGTTCCGTCTGAAATCTGGAGTGAGTTCCGTCAGGAGTCTGTCAGTCAGTCAGAGCGAGTCAGTCAGTCGAGTCAGAGCGAGTCAGTCAGTCGAGTCACAGGCAGACCGAAACAGAGTCGCGTTCAGACAATTACTACTAAACCTGATTGTTCGTACTAACACTTTCTACTTCTCTGTATATATTCCTGTTTGTAATATATCTGTTTTATTCCATACCTGTGTTCGAGTTCTCCTTTATTGGTTCTACCTTGGACTATCACCGTGGTACAAGGAACCGGACCATAACAATTTTAAAACAGAGGGAATCGATTCTTTGCTTTCATTGCGGAAAAACTCCATTTTCGAGTGGACTTAGGCTGGCTCCTGCGGAGGGCGTTTAAACCATCAGCTTATTACCTTCAGCTTCCTATGTATCTAAAAGTTATATAATTTAGAAACAATTAAATTATTTTATATTTATTCGACACCTTAATTCGTCATAATCTTTCTTCGTATACGCAACCCATCTCCGTAGTTTGTTTACATATATTTTGCGCTCAATTTTTATTTTCTTTCAATATCTCCATTCTTCATGATCCCTTCACATAAAGTCACTCATAAAAGACGTCAAACACCCGAACTATGTAAGATTTCAAATGCCTCACAGTACGCGTGTTAAAAAAAGACAACAACATATGAGCAACGTACCGTGCCCCGCTATAGTTTTAATTCAGTTGCAATTGTGACGAAAAGCGAAAGTAAAGTAAACTTAAATCTTTCATAAAGAATTGTTTTTAAACCTTTCGCTCTGTTCAATATCTAAATTTAACTTTACATGTGCTATTTATATAAGTTTAATCGCATGTAGCTACAATAGTTACGACCTGTTATTTCAGGTTGTTTATGATTCGTTAAAATCGAAAAACGGACGGACAGACGGACACACGTACACTGCGCTTTATTTACATAGATTCTGAAAGTCTGTTGTCTGATAATTTAACGTGTCAATGAATTTCTAGTCGAATTTCATTAAGAAAAAATATATATTATTAAAACTTAAAACTTAAAATTTATTTCAATCATATCATATGAATAATTTTACGATAGAAAAACAAACATTATCCGCACACTTGTTTAACGATGTCACAGGGAAAGTGTGAATAATTTTTCACTTTTCTCTCGTAAAATTATTCATATGATATGACAGAAATAAATTTAAAGGTGGGAAATATTTCGTATCACCGACTGCATTTTTTTTCAGAAATTCGGAAAAACTTCCCATTTATTGATTCACTATTCCGTTTGATTAAGACGATATTTTATAATGAGAGTAATAACAGTTATTACAATAACTTGTATTGCAAATACAAACTAAAATTGGTGTAATAAAAAATGATAATATTGTCACCTGATCATTTTGTATGATGAATTGCTTTTAAAATGAACCCAAAGGTTTTACAGTGACCAAGTAACATTTAAAGTGATAAACACACACACACACATATCAAATATTTAGTGCAGTACAGTTTATATTACAATGAATCATTCATACAAAAGATAGATTAGTAAAGTTAATGATATAAAATGGCGAAATCCTTTCGCAAACAAAAATTTAAAGTTACATTAACCTACGAACCACTCGATGAATGTTATGATACTTATTTTTAAAAATTATAGGCTGTATAAGGTCTTTCTTTAATACGCAAGTACTTTCAACTGTACATTCAGTCATCCTCAAGCATGGAAGTTATTTTGTTTCTATTTTCGTCTCAGATGTTACCTGAATTTTACCAAAAACCTTTCTTGCTATTTTGTTGGTAAATTCTTCAATGGAAAAAACTATTTCATCTGTCAATTGTCGCTCTATAGACAGTAGATATATATATATATATATATATATATATATATATATATATATATATATATATATATATATATATATATATATATATATATATATATATATTGTATTCGCTTGAGGATGAAATGGAACTAATGTCTTTAATTTAATTACAAAATTAAATTCGAGCTTCCATTTTTTGAAACATGGTTAGAACTGTGTAGCAGAAAACCATATTTTAAATCAATTTATTTATAATATTAATGCTCTTTAAATTTACATTGAGCACTATTTTGTAAAAATAAAAATAAGAACACCGGATTATATATCTTACTGTTCTTTCTTTTTTTTTATATATATATATATATATATATATATATATATATATATATATATATATATATATATATATATATTACAACAGAATACATATTATATTCATACGAATCTATCCTAAAAATCTTGTCGGTATTAAATTACCCATTGTGGTTGATATACCGTAAAACACAATAAACCATATCAAACCAAGAATTGAGATTAAGATGAGAAACAAATATTTATTGTGTCAAAATAAAGGTTTCCCCGCTGCTTAGTCAGCCTGTTAATCATTTTATTTCCCCCTCCTCTATTTCCATTCTTAAAACAAAGCTGACACTTAAGCTCTTCGGCCCTTTGCTCTAACCGCTTTATTCCCGAAAGGATTCTACATAATATGCGGTGATAATTTCTTTTCCTATCTTCTACGTTAATTTCAGATTCTCTCAGCCGACGGCCGATTCTAACAGACGGGACGATTATTAATGCGACACCGATCTAAATCTTTTTTCTTTCTTTTTTTTTTTCCTTAATCAAATCATAAACATTCTTTATGGGCGATTCAATTAGCGTTTTAAAATGTTAGGAATGGGAAATACGTCGTCCATGATAATCCATCATAATCCAAAGTTGGAGGTCGGATCAGTAAAATGACTGTTGAGAAAGCTGAAGATTTTTGTTAGAAAGAGCAGAAGGGTGGAGGTTCTAATGAGTTAAGGTCTCGTTTCTTTAGCAGGGTGTGATACACTTTTTTTTCTTTTGAAGGAAGGAAGGAAAAGACGAACGAACGAACGAAGGGAATGGAAGAATGATTTAAGAGAAAAAGTAAAGGAAAGAAATAAGAAAGTGGGGAAAAAATGGATAGAAAAAATAGGAAAGAAGGTTGGGAAAATAGAATGAATGAATGAATGGACGAAGGAAGGAAGGAACGAACGAACGAACGAACGAACGAAGGAAAGCAAGAACAAAGTGAAGAAAATCGGGAGATGAAAGAGTGTGAAGGAGGGAAGGACATAGGAAAGAAGGAAGGAAGGAAACAGGGACAGAACTGCGTAAGAAGGAAAGTGAAAGAAAATGAAAAAATAAGGGAGGTGAAAGAGTGGGAAGGAAGGAAGGAAGGAAGGAAGGAAGGAAGGAAGGAAGGAAGGAAGGAGAAGGCAATAATGGCGCAAGAAGGAAAATGAAATAAAGAAAGGAAGAAATGAGAAATGTAGGAAGAGAAAAGATTTGAAAGGAAGAAAGAAAGATAGACAAAGAAGGCAATAATGGCGTAAGAATCAAAATGAAGAGAAGAAAGAAGGAAATGAGAAAAGAAATAAAAGAAAAGAATGGAACGGAAGGAAGGAAGGAAGGAAGGAAGGAAGGAAGGAAAGTAAGCAAGAATGATCTACGAAAGAAAGACATACATGAAGTTATGAATTGAAAAGAAAAGAAAAGAAAGAAAGAAAAGAAAGAAAAAGAAAAAAAGAAAAGAAATTCATAAAGAAGTTATGAATAGTGGAAGGAGAGAAGAAAAGCAAGCAAGAAAAGAAAGAAAGAAATTCATGAAGTTATATGAATAGTGGAAGGAGAGAAGAAAGAAAAAAGAAAGAAAAAAAAAGAAAGAAAGAAAGAAAAGAAAGAAAGAAAGAAATTCATGAAGTTATGAATAGTGGAAGGAGAGAAGAAAGAAAGAAAAGAAATTCATGAAGTTATTCCTTGAAGTTATGAATAAAGTGGAAGGAAGAAAGAAAAGAAAGAAAGAAAGAAAGAAAGAAAGAAAGAAAGAAAGAAATTCATGAAGTTATGAATAGTGGAAGGAGAGAAGAAAGCAAGCAAGAAAGAAAGAAAGAAATTCATGAAGTTATGAATAGTGGAAGGAGAGAAGAAAGAAAGAAAGAAAGAAAGAAAGAAAGAAAGAAAAAAAGAAAGAAAGAAAGAAAGAAAGAAATTCATGAAGTTATGAATAGTGGAAGGAGAGTAGAAAGAAAGAAAGAAAGAAATTCATGAAGTTATGAATAGTGGAAGGAGAGTAGAAAGAAAGAAAGAAAGAAAGAAAGAAAGAAAGAAAGAAAGAAAGGAAAAGAGAAAATTGACAAAAAGGTATAAAGGGAGGCTAGTAGAAATGAATGAAAATAAGGGAAGAATGAAAGAACGATGAAAAGAGGTGCAGTGAGTAAAGGGAGGGAGGGTGGAAAGAAAGATAGAAGAAAGAAAAGAAAGAAAGTATCAAAAAGGAAAGAAATAAGAAAGGAAGAACTAGAAAGAAGAAAAGAAGGAAATGCAAACTACAATGACAAAAAAAAAATAATGAAAATATATTCTATACCAAAATGAAAGAAATTTACGAAAAATATAATGAAAGACTCAAAGTAAAGACTTTTGAAAATTATATTTTGCAAAAACTGACCGTAAAAGAATGAAAAATAATAAAGAAAATTTAAAGAATAATAAAGGGAAAAAGGAAAGCATTTCTGGAAATAATTCCAGACAAAAGATAAAGAAATAACCAAAAGAAGAAATAGAGTAATACTCGTGCAGTGCAATATACACTGGATAATGTCAGTCTCTAGGACCTGAACTTGCAACCCACAAATCTGAACCCTTGCTCAACCCGAAAAATGCCCTTAACCCGAGTTTTTTGTCATGTCAAAGTGGACGACGCACATTGACACTGACGACACGTTGACAATATGACGTCGTCGTCTCGTGTTTAAATAAATGATATTTTGACAAGCATGGGAAAAACACAATTACCGACAAAAAATGTAAATGAAATTATTAAGCAAAACCTGATCGGATGGGAAGGGCAGAATATTTTCTTTTGCGTGGGGACGTTTCGACCAGATTTAATCCCCTCCTCATCAGTGCAATCAGTCACTTCGCATGCATCTAAATTTCATATAGCTCTATATAACACCAAATTTTTCTAAAGAGAATACAATTCCTTTTCTATTTGCCGTATCCCTACAGGACGGTGATGATTCTCTCTAAGTTCATGCCCTTTTTAGTTTTGTCTTTTCATTATCACCCCCCTAGTGCCTCTTACGCCATCTATTTCCACGAGCACGTTTAGTGGGTCATTCGCTGCTTTCTCCAATCCTTCTTTCTTCATTATATGTCTTAGAAATATCAACTGTCTTTTTTTCTGATTCTAAGTATAATTGTCTGTTCTTGTTACCATTTTTCTTAACACTTTACCATTATTAGCATGTTCACTCAATGGTATTCTCAGCATCCTTCTGTAGAACCACATTTCTTTTGGTTCTAGTCACTATTTCATCTGTGAGGAGATTGTTCAGAATTCACTGTCATAGATGAGGATTGATATTAAATAACGGTTCATCACACTTTTCTCTGTTTTTAACAAAAATTTCCTGTTTCTTAATACTTTGCTTCTCTTTTGAAACACTTATTTCAATAGTGACATCTTCTTTTTCTTATTCGATGTTTTGTATTCTTATAGACGTTGATGATCATGGCTCTCCACAATTTCCTATCCTTTATTGAATGTTTGCTCTCCTAAACATTGTTCCACCATCCATTTAGACAAGATCATTATTATTTTTCTTCATATATTCTTATTCCTCTTCTATTTGTCGTGTTCCATCTGGACGTTGGCGATCAAGGCTCTCCACAATTTCCTTTCTTTTGTAGTTTTTAATAAATGCTTTCTCTGGGAAACCTTGTTCCGCCATCCATTTAGATAAGATCTTTCTTCTGCTTCTCCATATATTCTTCTTCTTCTTCTTCTTCTTCTTATATTCTTCTTCTTCTTCTTCTTCTTCTTCTTCTTCTTCTTCTTCTTCTTCTTCTTCAGTTTATTGAGAGCTTCTTATTTCTCCTCGTAATTGTCTATTACCCTAACATTGTTATTGACATCGTCGATATACCTTCTTTTTTCTTCGCATTCTCCTCCTTCTTTTCATCATCGTCTTCGCCATCCTCCTCCCCCTCCTTCTTATCCCCCTCCTCCTCTTCTTCATTACTGTTGCCTTCATATTCGCCATAACTATGCCTTTCCTTAACATCGTCCAACCTGACAATATAAACTTCCTTTTCTACTTCGTTGTCTTAGAATCATAGGACATCATCATCATCATCATCAACAACAGCAACAACACCAGCAGCAACAACACCAGCAGCAACAACAGCAGTAACAGAACAACAACAGCAGCAGCAGCAACAACATCGGCAGCAGTAACAACTGCAACAGCAACAGTAACAACAGCAACAGCAACAGTAACAACAGCAAGAGCAGCAAAAACAATAGCAACAACAACAACAATAACAAAACTGCAGCAACAACAACTACAGCATCAGCTGCAACAACAACAGCAACAACAATAACAGCAGCAACAGCTTTACCCTTCTGATCGTTGTCATCGCTGACGTCGTTTATCACCATCAATACCATCTTCATTGTCACCATAATTATTTGTGTTGCTTTCCTTTTTTTGACTAACATAATAATAATAAAAAGAAGAAGAAGAAAAGGAAGAAAGAAGAAAAAAGAAAAAGAAGAAAGAAACAAAGAAGAAGAAGATATCCATCAGAAATTCAGATATGCATTTCTTCATCATCATCATCATCATCATCACCTTATCGCGTAATATCTTTCTTTCCCAAAACCTCTATCATTTCTAAATGCGGTTTTCCTTTTCTTGTCTCTCCAATTTATTATCCTTGTACCAGACTAAAATAGCAATAGTAAATGTCCTCCTAATAGAAAAAATATCAAATGATTTTTCTTGAAACAAAGAATTATTAGGAGCATATCTGAATTTATCAAGCTTCTTCTTCTTCTTCTTCTTCTTCTTCTTTCTTTCTTTTTTTTTTCTTCTTTTCTTTTTCTTCTACTTCTTCTTCTTTTTTTTCTTCTCTTTCTTTCTTCTTTTTCTTTTTCTTCTTTTTCTTCTACTTCTTCTTTTACTTTTTCTTCTTTTTCTTTTTCTTTTTATTCTTTTGTTCTTCTAATTCTTCTTCTACTTCTTTTTCTTCTTCTTTTTCTTCTTCTTCTTCTACTTCTTTTTCTTTCTTCTTTTTCTTTTTCTTATTTTTCTTTCTTCTTTTTCTTTTTCTTCTTTTTCTTCTACTTCTTCTTTTTCTTCTTCTACTTTTTCTTTTTCTTCTTCTTTTTCTTCTGTTTCTTCTTTGTTTCTTTCTTCTTCTTTTTCTTCTTTTTCCTTTCATCTTCTTTTTCTTCTTTTTTACATTATTATTATTATTTCTTGTTTGTTTTTTTACCTCGCTTCATATCATTCTTTCCCAAGACATCTATTCTTCCACAATGATTATTTTTTCTTTTCCTTTCGTCTTCTCTTTTCTCTTAAATTCCCCTTCGTTAGTCGTCTGACTTTACAACCACACATCATAAAAAAGAAAAAAAAATAATACTTCTAATCACATTGAAAATCAAAGTACTTCAGTCGTGACATCCTGATGATTATTTCGCCTCAGCTGGTTAAATTCAAAACAAACAAATCACAAAATAAAACTATTTTGAGTATTGGTTAAGTTAAAAGTTCAAAAACTATAAAGAAAATGTTAAATTAAAAAAGTGTTTAATTCAGGGCAGATAAAAAACAGAATAATATAGAAAATCCCTTTAAAAATGAAAAACAGGAGAAATAGTAGTAAAAAAAAACCAACGAGATAAAAGAAAAATAATAAATAGATTTTTCAGAACAGAATTACCAAAATTGCTTCTCTAATCAATCAACGCATCCCCCTCTTCTACCGATTTACAAAAAGTCTGCTTTTACCGATTCCTCCCAAAATCTTCCTAGAAAAATACAAAATTAAAAATTAAATTAAAAAAAAAAATTGAAGAAATTTTAAACAATTTTCTATTTACGTTCTTTTTTACTTTCTGCTTTTTTTTTATAAAACGGAAGTAAAAAAAGAAAAGAGATGTAAATGCTAAAAAGAGAAATAAAACAGAGTTTAAATCCACGCAGACCACGAAAAAAAACCAAGAACAGTGATAAAAACGTTTCGACGACCTACCATTTTTTTTTACAAAATTCTATAATTACCTCCCTTTATTGGGTAATCAATATTAGTTTATTTATTTAAATAGCCGTTTTCTTTTGAATTCAAAATTCGCCATTACTATTTTAACGATTTTTTTTTACTCGCATATGTAAGAATTTTTCCTGTTTAGAGAATCGTAAAGTTTGAATGATAGCTCAGTGGTCAAACTATTAGACTGGCAACAGCGAAATTCACCTGTCTCTACGATCTGTTGTCCTTGTACCAGACTAAGTTGGCATTTGTAAATATCTTCCAAACAGAAAAAATACCAAATGATTTAAGTTGAAATGAAAGATTATGAGGAGTATATCTTCTTCTTCTTCTTCTTCTTCTTATTATTATTATTATTATTATTATTATTATTATTATTATTATTCGTCTTCCACTTC